TGGCATAAGAGGATCCCCATCCTGATAATAATCATTTACACCATTACTCAGAGATGAACTATCAATTATTGCTCTTACCCTAATCTTACATGCAACATACCACCTTTTCCTATGAGAACTTTTAGATGGGATAAGAGGTGTAAAACACTTGTTGGACTTGATTTTTAAGATGAAAGGTTTATTTGTCTGTAGTTTAAATTGAAGATTTATGTTAATTATACGAGCTGACAAATGGATCACAAAACCTTTGTTGAAATCATACTAGTCACAATTAAACAATATCACTAACTGAGGAAGAGAGTCAAAATAGAGTAGCTCAATAATTCCTTTGAATTACCCATGATAATCTAACTCATCGTCATTTAAAGTAGTTCCCATGACACAGACCCCACTATTCAAGGTCATTTTGTTTTTTCATAAGAGACAGTATGAAACCAGAATCTATTAACCCAATAACAATTATATACCCTAACATTATTGACTAGTCCAGTTACTAAAGTCAATAGGCATAAATCAACCTCATATCTTTCGCTATACACCTACATTTGTTATAGAAGTATTGAATATTGTATTTTTCATAAAATTAAAATTGAAATCTTAATAATACAAATTACCATAATGAATGACTCACCGTTGTTTTAAATAAGGAAATAAGCTCAAGTTGTCGTTTTATGAACACACTTGAGAATTGAAAAGCCTACATTAAGAAGTGAGTAAATAACCTATAAATTTTATTAACCTAAATAAAGAAAAGTTAGAATAAAACATATGCAATCCATGGATTTACTTCCTCGCAATTAAGCAAAACATAAAGTTCTGGTGCCTTTAATTCCCTTGGTGACAATGCCCGCCCACTCATTTCTCCCCCCACCAAGAGGTTAACCTTGATTTCTAAAGACAGATAAATAATCATCTATATTATCATTTCTACTAACAATGTTTCTTGGTAGGTGGTTTAATTTAATTTCTATATCAGATCCAAAATAATGCGAGCAAAAGAAAAAAATTTCTGAAAGAATGTTAGCCCAACACGTCGACACTTTAATATGATTTTTATTTAACACTTTCTTCTTAAGATTATGCATTTTTCTATTAAAAATAACAAAATTAATTAATAAGATTATAATAGAGTATGCTCAAAAATGTTATTGTGATACAAATAAATTAGAAAAAATATACCTGTCAAAAAAGTATATCCAATGAAATTAGACAGGTCTTCCAACTTTTGCTTCATATGGTAAACAGATTGTCAACTGCTTTATCAAATCAACGAATGCTGGAGAAAATATTTTTTTTAACTTGCAAATGGTCTCCACAATTTTTTCCTGACACTCTGTTACTAGCTAGAATAGTTGAAGCACAAAGCTCTAAAAAAGTTGCTAACATCAATTAAAGGACGTTAAACTTAAACCTCATCAATAAGGAGATGACGAAAAGCAATTGACAAAAGATGTTGCATGAATACATGACAATCATAGCTTTTCATTTCAAACAAGCATAACTTTTCATTTCAAACAATCAAAAATCATGCATTTTCACACTTGTTATGTTGGATGCATACCCATTTGAAAATCTCATATCCTTCAGCCACCGACAAACAAGAGCTTATTGCTCTCAAGTAAGAACATACGTTGCATTGGGTTTAAACCCATTCCATCATATTGAGGTACCAATTCCAATTCAGGGCTATTGCAATACAGCTGCAGATCCATTCTAGCATTTGGATTATGCTTCATACAACCCTTATCATTCACAACAATATTTTTAATGTTATTAAAAAAAAAATACAATGCATGACATCAAGTTTATGACAAATCAATAAATCATTCCAATATGGTAATTCCCATAATATGCTACGTTTTACCCAATTATGGAAAACACCAAATCCCGAGATTGATTGCTTACAAAGTGACTGGCCAAAGATAATGTCAGGCAACTCGTTAACTTGCTTCTCCATCAAATGGCCATCTAGTCTTGGGGGGGGGGGGGTGGAAGGCTTGTTTCAATCTTGTTTACATAGAAATTTTGTTTATCTCTACAAAATGGATGTGTAGAAGGTAGAAATTGATGATGGCAATCAAAAAATGACGTTTTCCTCCCAAATTAAAGTTGAAAAGCGTTGTCCTCCATGCAATAAGGGCAAGACAACCTCCAATGTGTGCTCCAACTAAACAATATGCTACCTAGAAAATCACTTATAATCCATAATAATACAACTTTCGTGATAAAATTCTGTTTTCTAAAACTATCATAAGTTTCAATCCCATTTGTCCTTAAATCATTAAGTTCATCAATTAATGGCCTAAGTAGGACATTAATGTTTTTCCCTGAACTTTTAGGTCCAACAATTATCAAGGACAAGAATATATACTCCAAATTTCTGCACAATTCAAGCAGAAGGTAATAGACTGTAATGAAAACAAGTCAACAAGAGTAAGCTGCTGTAGAAGAGTCAAACAAATTGAAACCATCTGTGCACAACCCAAGTTTAACATTTCTAGGTTCAACAAATATTAGATAAATTTCATCAAAGTGCTTCCATGCTTAACAACCTGTAGGGTGAGTAACTTCATCAAAATCATCATGGCATTTCAAATGCCATATTATGTGCTCCACCATTTTCCTAGACATGTTGGAAGGTACCACAGATTTTCTCGAAACTACTTTCTGCCACACTATAGCCAGGTTTCTTGGTTCATAACGAGAATCTCCACACCGAACAAACAGTTAAATTTATACTTTACTATTCATAGTATAAAAAACAATCATTGATGCAAATATCAATTTTCTTGTACCCTAATTTTTTTAGCACTATAAAAATCTTTTGGCACCTTTTCTTGGTCCTCTGCACTTAACAACTTTCGACTCAATAACAATGCAATCTCCCAGTTGGCAGTACTCATATTATAAAGAGTCTTCATGCTTAGCATTTTTACCATCTATGAAAGAACAATCACAGACTGCTCCTCACTTTACCTATATGAACTTCTGTAGCATGAAAAAGATTATAAAATTCTTTTGCCTTACTATTTAGCTCCTCAACCATTAACCCCTTATTGTATTCATGCTGTAAACCCATTGCATCAACTGACATTTCATGGTACCTTGCATTCGGCTCATTCCTAACAAACTGTGAGTTTAAAGATTCCTCGCAAAGCTTCTTGTTAGATTGTTAAATGTCTCTCCATGAACATACCATGTATAATAGTTGTTTATAAACTCATGCTTACACAAATGCACTAAGACAACCTTAGGGTTCCCTCATTTCCTACATCTATATTTTGAATAAGGGCACTTGATCTCTGATTTTGTCTGGGGTCCAGAGAAAGCAAATTTCACAAAAAATTACACCCCATCTTTAAATTCATTTGTAACAAAACCACGATTATTTACACGACGATCCATCCAATTACAGTCCTCCATTTAATTACCTAATCTAAATTTCAATTTAACAATGTATATTAACATATTAACCATAATAATCAAATAAAAAAGTCAACAACCATACATGTTGATAACCATACGCATATTAAACTCAATTTCAATAATTTGCAATAAATTACTTTATATATAAATTCAATTTATACAAATGTCATTCTACTTCAACAATCAATGGGCATCTTAATCTCAATCTCAATAGTTCCAAATAAATAACTTTATATATAAAAATTCAATAAAAAGATTCTCTAGTTCAATACCATATGCACCTCAACTTCAATTTCAATATCAATTTCAACCTCAATCCTAAACGCAACACTCCAAAATTCCAAACTTTTTATATACAAATTTAATAAAAATAACACTTCAATTAGCATACATATCTCAATCTCAATCTCAAACTCAACCCCAAAATCAATAATTTGAAATAAATAACTATATATATTAAAATTCAATATAAATATCACCATAGTTCAATAGCCATTCGCAGCTCAACCTCAATTTCAAATGCAACAATCCAAAATCCCTAAACTTGATATATACAAATTTAATAAAAATAACACTTCAATTAACCTAAATATTTCAATCTCAAAAAAATTGAAAGAAACAACTTATATATAGAAAAAAACTCCAATTACATCTAGCAATGGGTACTGTAATGATGTACAGGCTAGATTTGGATCTAAAATCTACAATGAGAACAAAGGATAAGTTATTGTAAATCCAAAAACCATGGCAAAATTCTCCAAATTCTCAGTGAAGAAACCTGACCATCCAAGGGGCGAGGAGGGGAGAGGTAGAAGCATTCTCTGCTTGGGGTGGTCAGGTAGAGATAATGAAGTCTGGATTTTGGGTCTAAAAAGAAAGAGAAAAATGGGCTCTGTAGATCCATATCCAAATTTGAAATAAATAACTTTATTTAAAGAAAATCAGTATCAATATCATTATAATTCAATATTAATACACATCTCAATCTCAATCTCATAATCAATAATTTCAAATAACTAACTTTATATATAGAAATTAAATATAAATATCACTTTAGTTCAATACCTAAATGCATCTCAACCTCAATCTCAAAATCATTTTCAACCTCAATCTCACACACAATGCTTCGAAATCCCTAACTTTATATGTACAAATTTAATAAGAAAAAATATGTCATCTCATTGCATCCCATCACAAATTCATAATTTAACATTTCACCATGACAATTTGTAACTATGATGTGCATCATTCATAAAGAATATGCCATTGACAATAAGATCTATCAAACTAAACTATTAATTGCTTATGTGTCAAAAATATTATTATGTTACCCCTTATCAAATCAAATTTGCAACACTAACTTCACAACGTTAAAACATTGTAAAACCCCAAAAAGGGAAAACCTTCATGCAAAGGATGGCATAAGTGTATAAATACATTTGTGGTTTCTTCTATTTTTGCATTTGAATGTTACTGTGGAGTTTTTGATTTTTTTCATCTTTTTGGTCTAATCCAGAAAAAAAATCTAAAAAAATTAGAAGAAACAACTTATACATAGAATAAATTCCAATTACCTCTAGCGGTGGGTACAGTAATGATGTACAGGCTGGATTTGGATCTAAAATCTGTAAAGTGAACAAAAGATAAGTTACTGTAAATCTAAAAACTATGGCAAAATGCTCCAAATTCTCGGTGAAGAAATTGACCATCCAAGGGGCGACAAGGGGTGAGTCAGGGGTAGTCTCTGCCAAGGGTGGTGAGGTAGAGGCAGTGAACACTGGATTTTGGATCTAAAAAAATGGAAAAACAGGCTCTTGTAGATCCAAGTCCAAATTTGAAATAAATAAATTTATATAAAGAAAATCAATAAAAATACAATTCTAGTTCAATATTAATACAGATCTCAATCTCAGTCTTGCAAATAAATAATTTAAAATAATTAACTTTATATATACATATATAATAAAAATAACACTTCAATGAGTATACATTTCTCAATCTCAATCTCAATCTCAATCCCAAAATCAATAATTTGAGAGAAATAAACATGCTCCTGCAGGCAAGTTAACAGTAGTGGGTGGGTTACCTCATTTGGGTGGCATGGAGGCAGTAGAGGTTGGATATGGTGCATACATAGATCTACAAGAAAAAAAAAAAAAAAAACTAGTTAAATGGCAGAGACCCAGAAGAGTAAATTAAAGGAAAAACCCAAAAAAAAAAAACCCAGAAAAAGACAGATAGAGCAGCAAATCTACCGTCACCGGCACAGAGGTTCGGAAAACAGAGGGTGCACAGATAAGCTACTCAAGTACGTACCCACGAACGAAGACAGCAAAAGGGGCCCGTAGATCACCGAAGATGACAGCAGATCAACTTGGAAAGGAGAATCAATGGGGAAATCTACTGGGAAAGGTGAAGAAATGGGGAAATCTCCCGAGAAAGGAGAAGAAATAGAGAACAAAGGGAAAGAGGCAATTAATGAACGGCAAGGAGATTTGGAAACCAGAAGGCGCAAAGATGACCTACTCAAGCAACCACAAACGGCGATGGTAAAAGGGGCGCAGAGATCGTCGGAGATGACAATAGATCTACCGAGAACGGAGAAGAAGAAATGGGGGAAGAAAAGGACTTAGGGGTTATAATCGGGGTGGTGTTATTGCCACAGCCACTAATGTTAATGCCACAGCTTTTTTTAGTTATTTGACTATTATACCCCTCGTTTGAATCCAACTTGCAGCAGTCACTACCTTCGCCGCGTGGGTTAATGGTCAAATAACTAAAAAAAGCTGTGGCATTAACATTAGTGGCTGTGGCAATAACACCACCCTTATAATCGGTTATAACTAACAGCCATTTCTATTATTTATTTTTATAACCGACAGAAATGGCAATTGGTTATATTCATAACCGACTAACAGCCAAGGCGGTTGACTGTACCTGTCATCGGGCCTATAACCCAGAAACAGCGTCGTTCGAACTATAATAGTCAACTATTCTTATGATTATAGTAATTATATAATCACAACCAAAAACTATCAATTAAATATAATTGACAATCAACGTTACTATCAATTATAAGCATGTAATCGAACAACTTTTTTATAGAATGTATAAACAGTCGATAATAATTGGAATTAAGATAACAAAAGTAATTATGTTAAAATAAACGATAGCATTTTAGCTATGGATTATAAGTTTATCAATTTTGCCTTGTTTTTTAGTGGTGGCAGATTGCAAAAAATAAAATAAAATAAAATTATTTAATGAATTTTAATTTAGATGATAATACTATAATAAAATTTGGTATTAATTTTTTTAGTATCACCAATTATATACAATTCTTATTTATTTAATTTATTGGCCTTTCATATATAGTTTTTAATTATTATTTGATTTATTTACTAATAATTATAATTAAATTTCTAAATATATAAAAAAATGAAAAGAACTCAAAAATACTTAGCATTTGCAAAAGGTATTCAACATAATTACAAAAATAAGTCAAATTCATATATATAACCACAAATAAAAGCATATAAATTAAAGCATACAAACAAATTAACTAAATATATAAAAAAAATAAAAATCTAAGGAAAAATATCGAATCATATAATAAAATTACCTCCAAAATTCTATCCCATTGTTCACCAACTTAAAGAACCTTGAAAATGAAAAATTAAATCATTAGTACACAATTAATACACCAAAAACATAATATTATAGAAAATAAACACACTTTACAATATAAAATAATTAAAAAATGAAAGTAAGACAAATGATGGTAAAGGAAGGAATTAGTATTAGTTTTGGAGAAAAATATGTAAAGAATATGAATAACACCTAAAAATAAAATACTAAGGAAAAGAAACAAGAATAGTGATGAACAATAAAAAGAAAAAAAAAATAGATGAAGACATAAAGAAGTAATGAAAATTTAAAGAGAATTGTTGAAAGCTAGAGGAATAAGGGGTAAAGAAAAGAGTTGAAGTTGGAGAAGAAAGAAATGAAAGAGAAGTAAGAGAAGTGATATGAAGACTCTGGCTTGATGTTTTTATAAACGGGGTATTATTTTGGACAATAATACTGACCTAAATAAAAAGGTGAAAAATTCAAACCTTTTCGACAAAAAATTTAACAATCAAGGTGGGGGCCAAAAGAATTATCAAATTAATTCGGTCCGAATTCCTGATCGAATAAAATGTAGCAGAAAATTCAAAAATTTTATCAATTTTCAAAGGCAAAGATCAAGGGTTTATATATATATATATATATATATATATATAACCCTTATTTCGTTCAATATGCATGACTGAAATAATTTGTAGTTATAGTTTGGTAAAAAAGTTTGACCGAATTAAAATCAAGTTTTTTTTTTCAATTTAAAACAATTGTTCGATCAAATATTTTGGTCGAATGAAGTAATATTATGGTCAAAATATTTGATCAAATTAAAATATGAAAATTTAATCATATTTCGACTAATATTATTGATTGAAATATGTTGATACTAAAGCTGTAAAATAGAAGACCTCTTTTAATTAATTTGCATGTTACCATATTTCTTGCTTTTTACGTTTCCTATTTTTTCGTTTCTCTGTTTCTAATTTTTTTACCTAAAATTAGTAAGTAATACAATAAAAATTCTACTAATTAAATTATTTCTAAATATATATTAGAACATTTAATTGAAAAGTTAACCAACAAACACATAAATATAAAACTCATTTTTTCAGCTTTGATTCCTAAGAAGTTATGTTGGAGGGAACTTAGGGATTATAGGCCAATAAGTTTAATTGGTTGCTTGTATAAACTGTTGGCAAAGGTATTGGCTAATTGTCTCAAACAAGTCACTACTGCAGGAATGGGATTTTCGAACCGAAATATCGGTCCGGATATATAGGAAATTGGTCTGAATATATATATCCGGACCGATATTGGTCCTTATAGTTGATC